AAAGCCTGTGAAAATGGTATCAGGGGCATCTCATGGGGCCCCCTGCTGACCCCGGCCCTCGGGCAGTGTCTGAGTTTCCAAATGGTCAGTCCGACCCTGGAACCTACACAGGGTTACAGGGTTAAAGACTTTCTCCTGTGTAAGTCCTCATGCACACTTGACGTTTTTTACAGCTGTTGTTTTTGGCTTTTGACGTTTTTTTTCTACAGCCAGTAACACCCCCCCCCTCCCAGCATGTTATTCTATGTGTCCATGCACACATAGACTGTAATCAACGTTTTTGGGCTGGGATGTTTTTTGGCTAGAAAAAAAAAAAACAGGACTAAGGGGTTTCTAGAGGAGTTTCTAACTCTGAAAAATGCTGAAAAATGCAGCAAACGCAAAAAAAGTGGTAAAATGCCACAAAGCAGCGTTTTTGGACATTGTTTTGACCAAAAAAAGCTAAAAACGCAAATGCAGAAAGACACCACTAATCGCGGCAAAACGCTAATGCAAAAACACTGAAAAAAGCTGAAAAACTCACGTTTTTAATTTGACTTTACACAGCTAACGTTACCAGCGTTATCAAAACGCCCCGTGTGCATGGAGCCTGCCAGTGTTCAGAGCTGGTGAGGAGGAGTGCAGCAAATGTAAGTATCAGCAGGTGGGGCAGGTTGTTCTTTTAAGAGAGAAACTGTCCCTTTGGCCTGAATGGGCAAATTTATAGACTCTCTTTAAACATTGGATCAGTGAAGAGACACTTTTCATTTAAAAACAAATTAAAAAATACAAAAAAGACCTTGGCAGCTATGACAAAACACCTTACTGTGTTCAATGAATCATTCTCTAAAAAAGTGAAACAATGTCCAGCTTGTGTGCAGAAGTGAAATGTAAAAAACACACCATAATAGCACATAATGTACATTTATTAAACTGCAGTACTTATTGTGAGACAGTGTATTAAATTACACATAGTATTCTGTGTTTTCCTTTGAGAACAACATTTTTTTTTCCATCATCTGGTTAGAATTCCTCTGCCAGTTACAAGCCCCAGTCTTACCATTTCCTCTGCATGTGTTTTTTGCCGAGTAGTGAGGGGACACACTCATTATTTTGCAGGAATCAGGAATGAGATGCAATTATGGGGCCTATGCACAAAAAGACAGATAACATCTATTTCCCCCCCTTTCCCTCCCTCCAAGCCAGCATAGAAGGCAGTCTGTACTTGCAAGCAGCTGATCTGATGAAGTTCTTGAAAAGAACATTAACAGGCTGCTTCGGTTTGTTTATTTAGAAAGAAACCATTGTGTCATTCCGTTTTTCTAAGACGCCCTGTGAATCCACAGTTGGCTATGATATGATGCATTTCAAACATATACAATTTGTGTTCATGTTAAGTGGCTTCACATTGTGCCTGCCTCCTTAAGAATGTATCAAATGCCGACAGCTTGCCAAGATCTTGCCTTCTTTGGATGTAATCTTGACATCTCAGTACAATTTATATCCAGACAGCCAGTGTGCTGGAATGTTTGAGCAATTTTGGTAATTTGCCTGAGTTCTGTATTTATGCTTTCCTTGGCATAATATATTAAACTGTGCTCCATTCCCTGGACAGTTGATGGGGGTTAATACAGTGTTACACTTAACTGATTTACACTATAGGTATATACATCTAAAGTTGCAAATATATTTATATTTAATGTGAGTGATTTTTTTGTAATGCTTAACCCTGTTCTTCATGAAATATTACTTTCTTATCATTTAATGATAAATTCCAAGAACAAAAATTCTTTCCCTTGAAATGGATCCTCCTCCCTATTACCAGGGATTAACTGCTTGTCTTGCCTAGGGGATTAAGAATGTGATATACTAACCTTAAAATGGCCATATACTAGTAGGTTTTTGAACAAACACTCATACAAACATGCATATGAAAATTCTCAATACATTTGATGACAAATATCTTTCAAAAGTACTTCAAAATTGTATTTGCTTTTAACAATTGATTTTGGAACAAATGGACTTTCCTGAATGAAAACCACATTCACTGTTAAAAGTTTATTTATTACAGGTACCTATATAGCACTGTCAATTTACGCAACGCTTTACATATATATTGTACATTCACATCAGTCCCTAACCCTCAAGGGGCTTACAATCTAAGTTCCCTAGCTCACATTCATACATACACATACTAGGGCCTATTTAGACAGGATCCAATTAACCGACCAGCATGTCTTTGGAGTGTGGGAGGAAACCAGAGTACCCAGAGGAAACCCATGCAGGCACAGGGAGAACATGCAAACTCCAGGCAGGTGGTGCCATGGTTGGGATTCAAACCAACAACCCTAGTACTGCCAGATGGAAGTGCTAACCATTTACCCACTATGCTGCCCAAGTTTGTTAAAAAAAAAATTCCATCCCGATCCTTCATGTTTTTTTGTCACTGCAGTCAAAAATGAAAATCGATTTGATACCACTAATTATTAAAAAATCAGAAAAACTTTAGAGGAAGTGGAACTTTAGAGCAACATTAAAAATTCTCGAACAGGCAGGAATTTTAAGGCAGAAGACACATGCTTTGTCTCTTCCATATGAAAGTTACTTGCCTTCCTGTCCACTCTTGTACATTGAGCCGCGCATGCTCAGCTCACTGTAAAAATTCAGCAATGCCGAATCTGACTGAACTCCTGCACATATGTAGCAGTAAAATTATCCCCACCCGACCAAGCAAAGAGTCCGGCGATCGAGACCCAGAAGCCGGCTGCCCGAAGATGCCAGCGGCCTGCTGGGGAGCTTGGAGATGCCATATCAATGGAACTGAATGAGTATAGTTCCGCTTTAACCACTTCCCACCCATAGGACATTCCCTCAGGTTGAAGTGGGTATACCAGGGACATGGCTTCAGCTGCAGTCATGACCCCAGTATCTTTTTCTTCAGCTGGCGATGCTGAACAGACACTGGATTGCTTTTACAAGGGACGGAAAGGGGTCCCCCATCCCGCTGCCTTCTACAATCTTCCCAAGCTTCTCATTGGCTTACCATAGAAATGGCCAAAGACTGGAAGTTATGAGAATTTTGTCTTGTCTGGTTTCACTCAGATGTGAACAAGCCGTTACTGGCTTGTGAATGCATCTGATCAAACAGATCTCGCTTTGATCAGATGCTTTTAAGGAGAGATTTAGGGTCCAATAAATGCCTCATTAAAGAGGACCTGTCTTAGCCCATTCTATCACAAGGCATGCTGTCCATCCCTCATGACAGCAATAAAAGCAATAAAAAAACATTTAAAGAGACAGTGTAAAAAAAAATGTAAATAACTCAATAAAATTAAAATAAACAATTAAAGGATCCCTACCCTAAGCTTCCCCCCCCCCCTCACACTCACATGCAAAGGCAGTGTTCGCACCACACGTGAGGTTCACCACGAATGTTATAGTGAGGGTATTGATTCTAGCACCAGACCTCCTGTATAACTCTAAACTGGTACCTGTAAAGAATTTGCCTATTGAGATTTTTAAGTATCATAGTTTCCATGTGTGTATGCAATTTTAAAGCTTGACATATTAGGTATCTATATACTTGACAAAACATTATCTTTTAAATTGTTCCAAAAATGGGTATTATATTATGTTTGTGTGCACTAAAATTCTTAAAGCAACCACTGCCCAAATACTGAATGACACTGAATGAAAAATTGCAACACCCACCATTTTATTCTCTAGGGCCTCTGCTTAAAAATATATAATGTTTGGGGTTTTAATTAATTTTCAAGGCAAGAAAATTCTGATTTTTACATGTATGACAGAAATGTCAAAACTGGCTGCATGACAAGTAGTTAAAACGAAAGTTTTTAAATTACATTTTGCTATTGTATGGCCAGCTTTTTCCTCTCTCCCACAAACATCCTACTCTTTATCAGAAGTCCCAGCTCTCTGACATCATTCCTGTACTATGCAGGATCAGCAGCCCTGCATTGTAGGGGAGGACACAAAGGGCTTACCCACTTTCCAAGACATTGAACAGAGGAGGGGAGCTCTGGCTGCCTAGGAGTGAGGAATAAGGTGCGTATATCACAAGGTTAATTATAACCTAGCCAAAATGAACATTTACCTCTGCAGTGGGTAAGAAGACCCATTGCAAATGTTTAGAGTTCAGCTGGAAGTAGGTTACTTTCAAAAACAAAGCTTCAACAATCAATATTTAGTTGCCTTGGATGACATCCCAACTTTTTCAGAATTCATTAAAATAACACCTGGTGACCCTGTCATGCAGGTTCTTTTTTAGGCACTTCTTGTTATAGGGTGACAATACCCATGTCACCTAATTTTTCTCCTGCATTGTCACCCTCCCTCATAGTTTTCAATAGAGACTACAAGTACAAGGTTCAATCGACCTTACACCAGTATGGTTGTCAGTGTCAGCAAATCTGCCTGAGAAATGCCATGCAGCCATAGTTGGAGTACATGTAGACAGGAGGGAGCTGCAACACGGCTGCAAGAAATCAGCACCACTGGTTTGCAACAAAGAATGAAAAACAATATGTGAAAAAATTATTTTAATTTGAAATAAATGGAAATTGCTCATGATAAATATTGCCAAAGTATAATATACAGCATTAGCAAACTAAACTACACTTAATCACCCCTTTCCTTTGCTTCCCAAATGCTATATTTATTGACATAAATTATTGACACAAAAAAAAAAATTTTTCAATATCTCAAAGTATGAAGAAAAATGTAACACACTGCCCTTCATGCTGCTTGACAGCTCTGATGCTTGGTGATTGACTACTCAGGTACCCAACCCTGTTATTTAGGGGTGGGAAGAGAGTCTACTGCTCGATGAGCTTACACACAAAGACCCTTATACCTTCATTTCTGAAATCCAGAGGAGGGAAGGGAAGGCAGGGAGGGAAGGAAAGGCAAGAAAATATAAGCTAAACTAAAGAAAGTTGTTATCTACATTCTTGTTCTGGATCAGTAACTCAAAATGTATTGTGGATATACTGTATGTAATATACTATATTGCCAAAAGTATTGGGACACCCCTCCAAATCATTGGATTCAGGTGTTCCAATCACCTCCATGGTCACAGGTGTATAAAATCAAGTACTAGGCATGCAGACTGCTTCTACAAAATTTGTAAAAGAATGGGTCGCTCTCAGGAGCTCAGTGAATTCAAGCGTGGTACCGTAATAGGTTGCCCCCTGTGCAATAAGTCCATCCTTGAAACTTCCTTGCTACTAAATATTCCACGGTCAACTGTTAGTGGTATCATAACAAAGTGGAAGCAACTGGGAACAACAGCAACTCAGCCAGGAAGTGGTAGGCCATGTAAAATGAAAGAGCGTGGTCAGCGCATGCTAAAGCACACAGTGCGCAGAAGTCACCAACTGTCTGCAGAGTCAATAGCTAAAGACCTCTAAACTTTCTCTGGCCTTCAGATTAGCACAACAACAGTGCATAGAGAGCTTCATGGAATGGGCTTCCTTGGCCAAGCAGCTTCATCCAAGTCTTACATCACCAAGTGCAATGCAAAGCGTCGGATGCAGTGCTGTAAAGCACACCGGCACTGGAATCTAGAGCAGTGGAGACGTGTTCTCTGGAGTGATGAATCATGCTTCTCTGTCTGGCAATCCAATAGATATGTCTGGGTTTGGTGGCTGCCAGGAGAACGGTACTTGCTTGATTGGATTGTGCCAAGTGTAAAGCTTGGTTGAGGAGGAATGTGGGGTTGTTTTTCCCGGGGTTAGGATTGGCCCTTAGTTCCATTGAAGGGAACTCTTAGGGCATCAGCTTACCAAGACATTTTGGACAATTTCATGCTCCCAACTTTGTGGGAACAGTTTGGGGATGGCCCCTTCCTGTTCCAAGATGACTGTGCACAAGTGCACAAAGCAAGGTCCATAAAGACATGGATTAGCGAGTTTGGGGTGGAGGAACCTGAATGGCCTGCACAGAGTCCTCTCCTCAACCTGAAAGAATATCTTTGCCTGACCTCACAAATGCGCTTCTAGAAGAATGGTCAAACATTCCCACAGACACCCTCATAAACCTTGTGGACAGTCTTCCCAGAAGAATTGAAGCTGTTATAGCTGCAAAGGGTGGGCCAACTCAATATTGAACCCTCCAGACCAAGACTGGGATGATGTCGTTAAAGTTCATATGCTTGTAAAGGCGGGTGTTCCAATACTTTTGACAATATAGTGTGTGTATATATATATATATATATATATATATATATATATATATATAAATATAGCACTTGGCTGTGTGGTATGAGTCCCTTGATATTCTCATAACACTTTATGTAGCCACAGCAAACATCAGTGAAACACATATGTAACCTATTTACAAAAACTATATATATTATGTACAGGAACATAAACAGCGAAGTAAAAAGAAAAGAAAAAAAATAATACCTTGCCACTTGGCAACTTACTACCATAAGTAGTCCTTGGTCCTTAACAGACCTGGGGCACCCTAGAGCTGTCTAGGCATTTAACTCTGTATGCAAAGAAAAACCAGACCTGCTGCAGCTGGATGTTGTCTAATCAGTCAGCCCAAGTAACCTTAGCTCTCCCACTTGGAATGGAAAATGGAAAAATATCCAGCAACTGGTCAACAAAGCGAAACTAAACCAGAAAGAGGCACAGCAGAGGCTCTTCTGGATAACAAACGCAAATAAAAAAGATAACAATAATAATAAAATAACAGGCACCTTGTGGTGGTATATGTTTAAATTTAAGTTAAAAATTAAAAAATTATAAACACTCTTTTTTTTCAAAAACACATTTTTTTTCAGGCTTCAGGTAATTTATTTAATCCTCATTTCCTAGACTGTAAGCTCGAAAGAGCAGGGCCCTCAATCCCCTCATGTTTTGCATTGTATTGGTATTGTTCTGTCACATGTTCTGTCCCCCTTTGTAATGTACAGCGCTGAGCGAACTATTGGCGCTTTATAAATACTGTATAATAATAATAATAATAATAATTTGAGCCTGTTGGTTACCACACTGAGAAAGCTTGAAAAAACAAAACTGCTGCAAGTACTGTATAAGGCACAAACACCTAGAGGTGGCAGCTTCCCACACCTTTCATGTTCATTCTCATATGGCACTTCCTGATATTGCTGAAGCTTTCCCATCCCTTCCTGTTTCCTGCACATTCCTTTTGACCAAAAAGACTGTTCATCATAGTAATGTTAGACATAGAATTGTTGGACCTTTGTTTGGGAGAACTGCTCAGTTTTTGGCAGGAAGGTTTGGGAGACTTTTGCAGGTGTGTCCAGTTACCTCTAGGTTGCATGCATTTTATACCTGTAGCAGGTTTTTTTATTCATGACAAAGTCTGGGTATTTAATGTAATTGCACTGTAATCAACTTAAAAGTTGCAGAAATTCTCAGTCGAAAGCATGGCTACTTTGGGTAGGGCAAATGATAAACCCTATATCCTTAAAAATAGTTCACTTTTATGTAAGGATTGTTAAATTCTATAAGGTATTGTTTTGTAAAGAAACCCCAATGCATTCTCTACTCTCATAAATATCAGCTCTTCATGGAAATTCATCCATTTTATAGACTGAATCAAGGCACAGCATCCTGAAATGACTATCTGACATATAGATTGTCCCAGTCAATATGCTATGATTGTACACCTAAAAAACAACAATAGCAGTGAACAGTGATAACAGAACCTCGAAATGAAACATACAAAAGCGATACAGAAGGAACTTGTATGTTACAAAAAGACCCTTCAAACACCACATATTGCACTTAAACTGATTCTAAAGGTTCATTTTTTTTGTAAAATAACACACATGCCTATACTTACCTACTGTGTGCACTGGTTTTGCACAGAGCAGCCTAGATCCTCCTCTTCTCGGGTCCCCCGCAGGCTCACCTGGCTCCTCCTGTCTGTTGGGTGTCCATTCACACACGGAGCCGCAGCTTGGTCCCACCCCTTCTCTCTCTTCACTGGCTGACTGGCTGAGATTGAAAGGAGCGGGACCCAATGGCTTCTGCTTGCTGTCTCAGCCAATGAGGAGGCAGAGACCTGGGACAACCAAGGCTGTCATTCACATCTCTGGATCTCCATGGGACCCAGCAAAGTATTGAGGGGGCTGGTGGTGCTACTGCAAACAGAAGGTTTCTTACCTTCATGCATAGAATGCATGAAGGTAAAAAACCTTCAGTGTTTACAACCATTTGAATATAAAAAATAAAACCCATAAATATACAATTAAGAGAATGTGGTTATAGGCTTTGGGCTTGTGTTGATGGCATCAGTTTTACATCAGTTTGAGATGCTTCCGAGTTCCTTCAGAATTCTTTGACAGTTGTGTTTAACCTATAATTGACATCCTTCTGGCCAGCATTTGATCAGCTTTAAGTGGGATTTGCATTCTCATAGACTATTATGGGAATGCAAAATCTGTCCAAAGCAAACAAAAGACTATTGACATAGTCCTTTAGAAGCAGTAATGAAAAGCAAGTACACAAGTGTCTATAAAGAAGACCAAAAGGTGAGCCAACTTCTTTGGTTAAAGACTTTGAATGAAAATGCAGACTTCTTGTCTGAAAATCAACCCCCCCCCCAAAATAAAAATTAGTAAGGGTCTATTTAGTTCTTTGCAGTGCTTAAAATTTGCAAAATGAATTTGTTTCAGACACACCTTTATTCAACTGGTACAGAAAGCCATCACTGGAACCATGCAGGCCATGACAGATTTGGTCAGGTGCCTTCTTCATTAACTAAATGAGGTGTTTCCTATTGCTGTTAACCATATTATATAAATTGTCTCTTTTTACAATTTTATTGAACAAGAATTGATGTACCTATGCATGTTTTACTGTATGTACTGAAAAAAAAAGAAAGGAAAAAAACATCTACTTCTGGCTGAACAGGAAAAGTGAACATTTTTGTCAGAGTTTTATCTCTTTTAAGTGACTTAGTTGAGGGGACTTTCCTTCCCTTTTTTCCCTGTAATACCCATACAAGACATTGAACACCAGTTAGAAATAAAAGACACAAATAATAGCTATGTATTCATTAATTGTAAATTGTAATTATTAGTACCTAAATTTGACACCATATCAGCCTTTTACAGCTTTGTTGCTAACTATGTGTGCTCCAAGCACATGGGAAGACAGGAAAAAATGCTGATATGAGCATAGAACAGATTGAGCAGAGAGATAACCTCATCAGCCTTCTGGTGCTCTTTCACTGCCCAGTGAGCAGACAGGTGACACCACTATATCCCTTTACTGTAACAGAGAAGTTAAGTGTTATCTAATTGCCTGTGTTATGTGATGGGCTGTGTACATCCCAGGAACGGATTGCTGCTACAATATCTCTTTTATATGTAGTTCAGATTTAAATTTGTAAAAATCAAATGCAATGTTAGAAAAAGAGGAAATATTTGCAAATCATGAGGTTCTAAAAAGGGTGTGGCATTTGGCATTGTGTAAATGTGTGTGGCCTGGGGTTAAAGTGGACAGGGTTTGCTCAGATCAGGGTCTATCATCTGTTACCCACCTAATTTTTAATTCAAGGCTGTTGTCAAACATGTCAAACTGTGTTTTTTTTAAATTTACTGCTGCAAAACTATATAAGCTCAAAGCTGTGAAAGCTCAAAGCTAAATAGAGAAGGTATTGATGAAGGGATACAGTTTCAGTGAGAGCTAAGGATTAGCTCAGTTTTTTGGCTAACAGAATATTGGCTTTGGATGATGCTTTCTTTTACATTAGTGATGCTGATGGTTTTAGCAGAACTTTTAGTTTAATTCTGGATTAAACTGGATGACTTGTGACATTGGAAAAATTGGCAGCTAACATTATGGTTCTACCCACTGTCCATTTTTATGGAAATACCACATAAAACACTATGGAAATTACTTATAATGGAGTAAGAACCATGAAGCATTTTGTGTGTATTTAATTTATCACTTTTTCTGTAATAAAAAAAAAAGACATAAAACAAAAACGGTAACTCCATTAATGGAGTGCAAGAGAAGGGGTGAAATAAGTTCTCTGTTTAAATATCATTCACCTCCATGGACCAGTTCCATCCACTTCCTAAATTCAAGACCTTCATTTCTAAGTTTATATTTCCTTACAACACAAAGATATTGCTTTGTGAGAGGGCTGGCAAAGGGGTGAACAATAAGAGGATGACTCCAAGTTGACCACATTTTTGTTTTGAAATGGATATTTAAAAAATACAGCAAGGTCCCTTTTGGGGCTAAATATACATGGTCAATAAACAGAGCATAAAGTGGAAGTACACTGTATCTGAACACCACAATCCAAAAACGCTACTTTGTTCATTTTTATTATTCAAAGCAACCTCCCCATCCATTCATGTCTCTGTGCGTTATGGAGAAACCAGCTCAGGCATGCAGACAGGATG